TTTTTAATTTAACTGGCACATTTTTAATAGAATTTATTTATTGGTCCATTCATATAATTCTACTTTTTTTCTAGTTAAGTCAGTGTCAGTCCTCCATACTGCAGAACTTGGTAATTCAATGTCTGAATCAGGTGTGTTGGAGCAGGGAAAATCATAAAACCTGCTGGGCTGCGGCCCTCGAGGACCAGGATTGCCCACCCCTGCATAAGAATGAGGTCCACATGAAAGACATCCATTGGCTTAGTATAGAATATAAACTGACTTAAATGATTCCAAACTTCAGTTTTTTTAGTTAATTTCTTACAGTCTGGTAAAAGTGTCAGGTAATTTAAACATAGTGTTAAATATGAAGCATCTGTTGTGCATGTACAACACTTTTATACAGGTGTAGTAAAGAAACAACAAAACAGTAAAACCAGTGAGTTACTGTCATTGAAGAACTGAAACTTATCCTAATGTGAAACAGGAGGTCCAGAGGAGACACGGTCTGGCCAACTCCATCTCCTCAGCTTTAATTAAACCGGTCCAGAGGATCACCAAGTACCAGCTGCTGCTAAAGGTAACAGAACCTCAGAAAGTCAGAACTCACTACTGCTTTTGTTTCAAAAAAAAAAAAAAAGAAAAAAGTTTGGAAAACAGATCACTATAAGGATTTTTAGTTTTCAGTCAAACACACCTTGTCTGCAGCTATAGTGTGTTAGAATAAAATATGTTTTGTTTGTTTAAACATCTGCTGTAATCTGAGCTCAGAGGTTTAGAAACTTCAAGAAGACCGAAAAATGTGAAGCAAGTTAAACACGCCTGCATGATCACAACAAACTAACTTTATAGAGGTTTTAGCATGTTATTATAATCACCAGAAATGCATTAATGATTACTACATGTTTGTTCTGTATTATTATGGCTCTCTATATTTTTTGGAAAGGATTTGAATACTGACTGAAACTGTGGACAAAAAGCTGAAAACAGATAACAGCTCAGACTAACTAACAGGGTGATTAGAAAAAAGACAACAGGAATGACTTCAGAATAAATTATTCCCCAATAACCCACAGAGCAGAGAAGTGTGGGCCAGATCTGGTGTCAAGCTGGCCCTGCTGGCTGACTGCTGATATGACACGTTTGTCAACTGGATGTAGGCCAGATCTGGCAACGACGGCGCTGTTTTTAAGATGGCATGCCACAGCTGGCCCAGATGTGGTTTGGTTTGACCCATGCCATCGCTGGCAAACCACATCTGGACCAAGCAAAGGCCCATCATTCTTTTGGGTAGTATCTGGGCCAAGTGTTGGTGCATTGTGTGGGCCAGAGTTGGGGCCGGACAAATTTTGCTATGTGGGCTTTTTCTGTTTATTTGATCATCTTCAGATTATCATGGCTTTAAATTACTTGCAGAATTGTAAAGTAACTAAGTACAAATACTTCTTTATTGTACTCAAGTAGAATTTTTGGGTATCTGTACTTTACTTTTTGGCAGCTTTGATATATTTATATAAACTGAAACAGCTGGACTAGTGCATCCTAAATTTAACATAAATTAATTATTTTAATACAACAGTCATTTCTGCATTTTTTGGGGAGGTCACCTCCTAATAAATGTAAATCTTACTGCTAATTTTAAATCAATACTTTTACTTTTAATACTTGAGTACAAAACATATCAGATACTTTAAGACTTTTACTCAAGTAATATTCCTAAAGGAGACTTTAACTTTTACCAAAGTAATTTTTTGGTAAGATACTTGTACGTTTACTCAAGTATCACTTTGTGGTACTTTATACAACACTGATTACTTGAATGAGACAAATAGAAATCAAAATATGGGGAAAAGTATAGTGAGCTATTGAAAGAAAACAGAAAAATTACATGAGAAAAGTTACATTAGGATTCTAATAATTTCCTTAAAACTATTGACTTTTAATGCTTAAAAATTACAATATTTACTTTTTTCTACTGAAAAAATTAAATGTAGAATCAGCTGCTTTAAAATGTAAAGATTTCTAATAATTTAAAAAGAAAATGATTATTATTATTATTATTATTATTATTATTATTATTAGTTGTAGTAGTAGTAGTAGTAGTAGTAGTAGTAGTAGAAGTAGTAGTAGTATTTACAGAAGAGGTTTCTGGTGTAACCTGTTATGGTTTATCAGGACTGTTGCTGTGTTTGCAGGAGCTGCTGGCATGTTGTGAAGAGGGCAAAGGAGAGATAAAGGAGGGCCTGGACGTCATGCTGAGTGTCCCAAAAAGAGCAAATGATGCCATGCATGTTAGCATGTTGGAGGGTAACATGCTAATACCATATTTACTACTGATATGTTTTATTATGATGGAGAAATAGCTTTTATTGTGAAGCTTAAAAAATGCCATAATTAGTGTCTGGTGTGATGTACCTACCAGGTCTGGAGGAGGGTTTGGAGGTCCAAGGGGAGCTCCTCCTGCAGGACTCTTTCCTGGTATGGGAGCCCAAGTCTCTGATCAGAAAGGGGCGGGACCGACACCTTTTCCTGTTTGAGCTGTCACTCATCTTCAGCAAAGAGATGAAGGATTCGTCTGGACGGACCAAATACCTGTACAAGAGCAGACTGAGGGTAACTAAAGCTGCTTTATGTTTCATGATTAAACTCATGTTTCAAGCTGAAATAATGACTGACACAGTGACAAAAGGGAAGATATTTTCCTTAAAATGAACGCTTGAAAAGTAAAAAATGGAATTCTAAAAAGGTTTTAGATTTTACTGCATGGATTATTGAGATACACCAGGGTAAAAGTGAAACTGATTTTATTTAACTGTTGGAAGTAAATTCAGATATCTATTTGTTGCAAAGATGGTGGATAAATACACTGAAATCATCTAATTAAAAATTTCATAGGTTGTATTTTGTTTTTAAAACCAAACTTTTCTAAAACATTGTTTCATGTCAGTTTAATATCTTCTACTTTTTAGATTTATTTGAGTCTGTGTAATATTTTTTGTCTAAACTTTATGGTTTTTGATGCCGAAAGATAAAGTTTTTTTCATTAGGCTCACCATATTTACCACGTTTTAATTATCTTGAGACATTTATGTTTTATGTTATGTATTGGTTAAATTGTTGATTTTAAAAAGCTTTGATTTTGAGTTATAGGGTGCTGAATATTTTTATGAAATAGGGTGTAAGTGTTTAATTTTTATCTTGATATCTTGATGTTTATGAAATGCCCTCAGACGTTTGGAAATGAATGGCATGAATAAAGTAGTTGATTCATCAGCTGCTATATGAGAAAGTTGAAAACTAGCTGATTGAGCAGCTTTAAAAACGTTTCAGTCATTGGTGTGTTTTTCTACTGATGAAAATCCTCCAAACTTCGGAATGTTAAATTTGTCTTTTTTTGTTTTTGTGTTGAATAAGTCCACATAAACCGGGACAAAAACAAGTGTAATGTCCTCACAGTCGAGTCAAACCAACAGAAACTATGTTAAAACAATCCCAGCTGTTTTGTGTGTCAGACTTCAGAGCTGGGAGTAACAGAGCACATTGAGGGGGATCCTTGTAAGTTTGCTCTGTGGGTGGGACGAACGCCGACCTCTGACAACAAGACAGTATTGAAGGTAAGAGCATTTTTTTATTGTCTGAAGACTAACTCAATTTTATTATGTTTTAGAAAGAAGCTAGTTGTCAACAAGTGGGTTTTAACATTATTACAGCTTTTCCTATTTGAATTAATTTCATGCATTTCAGACCAGAATTAGATAAGTCATCTAAGAATCCTTTATTATTTTGTCAGGCATCTTCGTTGGAGCTGAAACAGGAGTGGGTTCGCAGCATCCGACAGGTGATCCAGGAGAGACGGGGTCATCTGCGGGGGGCACTGAGGGAGCCTATCCCCCTCCCCAAAACACCCAACCCTACGCTGGGACGACAGCGCAGCATCACCCGCAGGTGTGTGAAACAGAAAAACACATTTTACCTCTCATTTTGATCAGGAGCTGCATGAAGGTTCTGATAAATCCTTTAGTTACACCTTTGCAAACATGTGTCTCTCTTTAAGTTATGTTGCATGTGTGATACATCCACACAGGCTTTATGGGACTAAAATGCTGCACTGCTAACTACAAAAACATGCAAACGCCCAAAATGTGCACAACTATTGAATGTGTGTTTTCACCAAAAAAAAATAACATTTAAATCCAGATAAGCCTTTTAGTAGTTTGTCATCAGAATGAGGTCAGAACCTCCAACAATTAAATCTGTATCATGCTGTAAAACTGTTGAAATATTTGAATTATTTCGCTGATTTATCAAAGCAAAATCAAAATCATTCGTTTGTAGCCTTTGTAACTTGAATTTTGAAATTTGAAATTTTTTGAACTGCTGACCTAACAAAACCTAAAACTTTTGACATTTTTATCAACAAACTGACTGTAAACTTACTAATATGAGAGTTTAAACTATAGGGACAAAAAAATCTAAAACCCAAACTGTAAAAATTCACACACAAAGTTTCCACAAACTCATCTGAAGTCCTCTGGGCATGAAAAGATAAAAACAAAAACGTGTTTTTGTCTGTTTCAGGGAAACGAGTGAAGACGCAGACAGTCTGGGTGATGCCAGCAGTCAGCCTGACACCGTCTCCATCGCCTCCCGAACGTCACAGAACACAGCCGACAGCGACAAAGTAAGCACATTCACACACAGACGCACACAGACACACACACAGAGGGGTGTGTCAGGCTACATTCTGACTTCACCACTGCTGCAGCTGCATGGGTGTGTATCTGTCTAGTGTTTAAGGGAGTTTCCGCTCTTCACACTTACAGACACTGCTCTGCTGACAAGGTACGTTTGATTTCTTCACCTGTTGGTTGTTAGAAAAGGGTGGGGTTAGTGGCTGTGACCTCTGACCTGCTGGTCCTATGAGCTGTGGTCCGTTAGTTGTCTTTAGGGTGTTAAAACTTCAGGATTTGGCAGCTGAGATGAGAAGAGTTAGTATTGAAAGACGATACAATCAACCTAAAATGAAACAGTAACAGTGATTATAAAGATTTTTATTTTATTTCAAAGCTTCTTCCATTACTTTGCTTGTTTCTTTGGTAAAAAAAAAAAGAAAAAAATACTAAAATAAAGCCAGAAGCAGCTGTCCTAACAAAATCATCAGTTTGTCTTGTTTTTTATTAAAGCAGGAGGAAAAGCAACTAAAAAACAAACGTACAAAATTTTAAGCAATTTTAAAACATTACTAAAAAGTTTACTGTAATTTCATTGTCAAAAAGATTAACAAAATATGGCAAAACATATTATTACACTATCAAAAAATGTTTTGTATTATATTAATTTTACCATAAACCAACTGGAAATACAGTAATTAAACAAATTGAAGTTGAAGAGAATTGTTTTTATTCTTTTAAATTAATTAAAAAATTATTTTTATTACATAAATAGACAGGTAGACGGAATAACATACAGAAAACAGCACATACAGTAAGTAAAGAAATTTGTGTTTAGTTGCAATTCATGGCAATAAATCTTATATTATTGGAAAACCTGTTTATTTTCCCTTAAATTGTGCCACATTTGTTAGGAAAATGCATTTGTGGATTTAGCAGCAGAGCTGAGTGTGCTGTACCTAGGACTGGGTGATACATAAAGGTTTTAAAAAAGTAGAAATTTTTATATAACAGACTATTTTTTATACCAATATAGTCTCATAGCATTATGGTTTTATGATTTTATGGTGAGTTGGGATGGATAAAAAACCCATATGAGCGGGGGCCTCGTAAGTGGGCCCATTGCTCTCCCCAAAGACACACTTTTATTAAAGGGATCCATGATTAGTTGTAACATTAGACTTTATTTGATAAACATTTATTTTAACTGTAAAATAAACCCATATGAGCGGGGGCCTCGTAAGTGGGCCCATTGCTCTCCCCAAAGACACTGGTCTTTATTCGAACCATCTCGTCCCTCTCTGATGAAGGATACAAGGTTAGAAACACTCAGTGTTCTGAGCATCTCAGGATCCATAAAGGGGTCCTCCAGAATTATTTCCTTTGACTACTCAGAGCCAGGCAGTGGCCTAAGTNATCCATGATTAGTTGTAACATTAGACTTTATTTGATAAACATTTATTTTAACTGTAAAATAAAAACTAAAAATACTGTAGGCTGTTTAATTTTTATAATTTTTAAACTAAAAGTTTAAAAATATATTACACGGACGGGGCCATTTTATTTACATGCAAAGCATTCTGGGTAAATCATGACATGAATAGGTCATCGGTGCGAGGCTGCTAGCGAGCTATATCCACCCTGAAGGTTAATCTTGGACAATATCTGACGATTGTCTCTTTTAAATGAAACCAGAGAGCGTTGACAGAGAGGAGAAGTTTGGCATTTTTTTCTGCTTGGATTGTTTTTGAAACAGTACAGACCCAACTGTACGTAAAAAAAAAAAAAAAACTGAAAGTGAATTTTGCATTAGGTCCCCTTTAAAGCACTTTTATAGTGATTGTGGGACTGTACATACTGTTCCCACCTGGTTTTACTTGGTTGGGATCTGTATCTTTGCCATTTACATCTTACTGCCTTGCTGAGGCCAGACAACTCTGAAGTCTACCAGGCCAGCTGCTTTGACGGCCTCCAGACTTTCTCCGGACAGGCAGACTTATAGGCAGTTTGCACAGCATCAGTTATGCTTGTGACCTCTGTCTCACTGTCTTGCACAGTTTTGATCCCGGCAATTCTCCCACCCTTTGTTGGGTTTCTGTAAATGACTGGAAAATAACATGTTGGTGTCTTCATCACCTGGAGACCCCAGTACTTGTGAGGCTCCAACCGCTTCTCGATGGGGTGCAGTCAAGGGGCTACGCTGGCACTAAGTACTCCATGTAGACCCAGCAACAGCAGAGGCAGAAGCTCTCACTGTCACCAAGCCCCAAGACACGAAACCCTCCAGTTACCCAGAGCCTGACACGTGGGTATCAGGTTCTGAGGCTAGAGAAATTTTAATAAAAGTTAATGGAAGCAGGAAAATTTTGAGTTTATTTTTTATATAAAAATATACTAAATATAAAATCTGATGAAAAAGAAAATGTACATATGTATGTTTAGATAAAGATTGAAAAAAATTCTAGTAGAAGCATTCCATTTTTTTATTTGATTTTTTCCAGTAGCTTCCATTCAAACAGATGATGATGATGATGATTATGATGATGATGATGATGATGTATAAACTGCAGCCAGTTGTGTTTTTGAGGTTTCAGATCAGTTTATGTTGACTTATCTGAGGTTCTGTTGTTTGTTCTGATGCTGCTGTGAAGTTTTCTGTCTGTTTTCCTCTCTCTGTCCACACTGGGTTGTTAAATAAACCAGGGCCTGTATTTATCAAACTTCTTAGAAGTCCTCTTAAGAATGCTGTTAAGAATAAACTTAAGTGCAAAAAACTTTAGTAGTTAGTTAAAAGCTGAGAGTAAAAGTCATTTATCAAGCGACTCAGTCTCACTTTAAGTGAAGTGTAGGAGTAATTAGAGCTGATTTGCGACACTTTGCTGTGCCACAAAGCTGATCCTGGATGATATCGTTAAAAAAAACTCCGGCATGAACAAATCACTGCATCCGATTTCATGTTCAAGAAGATTCTGAGAAATGCCAAGACAAAACTGAAAATCCTAAGAGAAGTTCACATTTGACACAATAATGTTCATGTTGTACTGATTGTCATAAATCACATAAAATCTCCTCGTTTACACCATGAATAAAGAAAATCTTGCAGATTATTTTAAAAACTGCAGCTTGATTGGCCTTTTTTAACGTCTCAGAGTCTGAGGTAATGTTGAGTTTGGACCTTGCACGGAGAACCCACCACAACGCGCACGTGCTGTGGATTTTTAAAATCTTATTTATTTTTCTAATAATTTTTTTCTTTTTTCTATTTCGTGAAGTTTGTGTTAAACAAAGAAAACATAATAAAATAAAAGTTCAATCCCACCTTTACCAGTGTGGGGAAAACAATAAAAAAATCAAGAGTTTTGACAGCATCATGCTTTCACTCACCAGCTGATTTTCTCCCAACGCTGCACAGAAATATCCACTTTAGTCCAACGTGAAGTCACTGATAATCGTATTTTTCTCCTCTTCTTTCTTTAGTATTGATAAATAAACCTGTTTTCCACACCTTATTTGAGTTCCTCTTTACAATGTAACTAAAAATCACACTCAGGTGGAGGACCTCTGCACCACTTAGTGCAGTTTCTGAGGTGGTGCATAGTATTCTTGAGGAGGACACAGCTGTAATCTCTGTCTTCTCAGTCCATCTCAGACCCTTAGTGACAACTCTTACCCACTTAAGAGTCCTCTGGAGCTGTCTAAACTTTTCAGGAGAGTAAGAGTGATTCTTAGACTTAAGAATTTTGATAACTTGCTTTTACAGTGAAGTCTGAGAGTAGGAGCAAATCTAAGACATTTTCAGCACTTAAGTCTAAAAATCCACTCTAAGACGTTTGATAAATTCGGGCCCAGATCTGGGTTTTTGTTCTCACATTCTCCATTCTTCTTTCTGCCGGAGATTTCGACCCGTTCCAGTTGTGGATCACAGCTGTGTTCATTTAGTCTGGAACTCCCCTCCACTCCCTGTAGACATTGACACTTCATCTGTTTCCTCCCCCCGCCTCCAGCCCGTGTGCTCGGGTTAACTATTAGTCAACACTCGGAGTCAGCAGTAACGATGGCAACCATGTTTATAGCTCCTATCACGTGCTGCTTAGTGGGCCAATCAGAACGTGGGTGTGGGATGGGCAGCAGGATGATATATGTGGCTTTCATGGTTCATGTGTTGGTCGCCAGTCCTGTGATTAAACTGCTGAAAGAAAAATGCAGAATGTTTGTATTTGCTGATGTGATCAGAACAATGCTGAGGATTTTAATCACCACCAAACATCACATGGTTTTTAGTTCTAGATATTAAAAAAGTACTTTTTAAACATTAAAATGATCTGTTTTTTTACAAGATTCTAAAATTAGTCAAGCGAACAAAACACCCAATAAATTCCACTCTGTTGGTGTTTATTAAAAAAGAAGTCTGTTAAGGCTGTAAATGAATAATTGGTTCCAGTTTTGCTACTTCTACAATATTGCAGAGGTTCTGTATTATCCAGGAACTGCAATAGACCTGATAAAGTCCAGAACCTCAACCTCTTTAGAGAGCTAACAGAAGCCCCAATGAACTGAAGCAATATTAGAAATAAGAGTGGGTCTAAATTCCCTCTATAACCTTGTGAAAGGCTGATAGAAAAAAGAAAACCTCTACTGAAAGTTCTTAAGAGGATCTACAAGCTGCTGCATCAAGAACTGGAATCAGATTTTTACTCGCATCTTTAACATTTTTTCTTTGTTTAATGAAAAATGACGAGGTGGAATCTGTTGTGGTTTGGTTGATTTGAGGTCAGATTTGAATTAAAACTGAAATAGGTAAATTTATCAAACTTAGAGTGGAATTTTAGACTTAGGTGCTGAAAATTCCTTAAATTTACTCCTACTCTGAGACTTAAGTGTAAATGCCAGTTATCAAAATTCTTATGTCTAAGAATCCCTCTTACTCTCCCAGATATTTAAGACTGCTCCAGGGGTCTCATTAGTGTGTAAGAGTTGCCGCTAGTGGTCTGAGATGGACTGAGGAGACAGAGATCACACAGAAATCACAACTGTCCTCCTTCAATATACACTGCACCCCCTCAGAAATTACACAAATGGTCCGGGGGGTCTCCTACCTGAGTGTTAATCTCAGTTATAATTTACAGTAATTAAAATAAGGTGTGGAAAACAGGTTTATTCATGCAACACAAAAGAAAAAAGAAAAATAATGTTACCAGTGGGCATAATATTGGACTAAAGGGCGAATACTAAACTAACCTATCAGCTGGTGAGTGAATGTGGAGATCTGCAGTCACAGCTGGACAGCTTCATAATTACACAATTAGATACATAATTACAGCTACCGATAGTAGCAACACGTTCCTGATAATTGTCTGAATAAGTGGATCCCTGTGAGTTTGTGATCTCTACTTCTTGTTTACTACAGCCATGTGTAACGTCTGATGTAATTACACTTTGCATAGGCTGGTTGATTTGCTTCAAACCAGAAGTTTGAAACACATCTGATTCACATTTCTGCAAAATTATAAAATTTTGCTGAAAATCTGCATTAAAATTGGATGTAAACACAGTTACTGTCACTTAACATGACACTTATCTTAAAGTGAGACTTTTAGTCTCAGCTTTTAGCTAAGAACTTTTTTTTTGCACTTAAGTCCATTCTTAACAGCATTCTTAAAAGTAATTTTAAGAAGTTTGATAAATACGGGCCCCAATCGATTTCATGATGTCCCAATGTACAAAACCCTAGAACTGAAAGGGAATTTGTTCCTCTATATTTCATTAAACATATTATTTATCAAAAATTCAGTAATCTAGGCCATGCCATAAGGGTTTTCAGCAGCGTTTGAGCATTGAGCATTTTTTTAATGCAATCTGAGTGTGGTCCTGTAACATGATGACGACCTGTGTGTCTGCAGCTGTCAGGAGGCTGTGAGTTAGTGGTGGTGCTGCTGGACTTCACCTCTGGGGGACCAGGAGAACTGGGTGTGCGCTGCGGTCAGACGGTGGAGCTGGTGGAACGCTCTGCAGATCGGCCCGGGTGGTGCCTGGTCAGAACCACAGATCAGACACCCCAGCAGGTAACAAATCAAATGAGAAACATGACATAAGGACAGGTGGGATGACACATCTCTACAAAAACAATTTGTCCCAGAAAGGGCTTCCTGGTTAGGGGATTTGTCCTACGAGAGAGTTGGCGGTTCGATTCCCCTGCTATTCAGTCACATGTCACCCCCACTGCCTCTGATGAATGTGATGTAAGCACTGATTAGTCTCTATAGAATGATCAGTCTGGGTTAGCTTTGTAGAGAGACAGTAGAGTGCTGAATGAATGGGTAAATGAGGACACAGATATAATGTAAAGAGTTTTGAATATCCTGCTTAGATAGAAGTTCACTTACAGTTCCTTTACCCTTCCTCTGTTTGAAAAATTATTTAATCACTTAGCTTGCTTATTGTATTTATCTGGGGGTCTTTTGTAAAACTATACTGACTCTTTCAGATTGAATTTAAAATGTTTTATAACTATATATCCTTAGTATTTTTACCTCTGCAGTTCTGAATATATACGATACAGGAAATTCACGGTTCGGTTCAATAATTTAGTCTCACGGTTCGATATTTTTTTGATACAAAAAAGAGAAATTTCCATGCCCCTTTTAACTTGTAATTTATTTATATTAATTATGAACATTTTTTTAACCTCAAAAGTACATTTGTTTAATTAAATGTTGCATATATATATATTTTTTATTTATTTTTAGGACCATTTCTGGTATACACACCTTTTCAAGAGTAGTCAGTATGGGGTCATTATGGGGAAAGACCGGTCCCAATATGGTGAAACTCCATTTATTTTTATTTTATTTTTTTATGGGTGGGGGGATAACGTTTAGGACTAAGTTATTAACTGAGTTTAAATTAGTTTTAGATACAGTGGTTTGCAAAAGTATTCATACCCCTTGAACTTTTCCATATTTTGTCACATTACAACCACAAACAAAAATATATTTCACTGGAATTTAATGTGAAAGACCAACACAAAGTGGTATACAA